CGTTTTTTTTTTTTTTTTTTTTTTTTTTTTTTTTTCTTGTGTTTGATTTATTTTCTAGCCTTTCCAGCTTTTCTGATGCGTGTGACAATTTTCACATCTCTTGCACTTGGCTAATTTAGTCATATTGATTTTTATTCTATTTTTCATGAACACTTTTGAAAAATAAAAATAGATCAGCTTTTATTATTTTTTTACACCTGTGATTGCGTCGTTTGGTTTATTCTTTTGCGTCATGTGTTTGCTTATTTGTTTGTTTTTTAATAGCACACGAACCGCTTTAAAACACTTTCCAGATTTACACTTTGCTCTTATCTATACTGTTTTTACCAAGACATACCCTTTCCGACCTGTATTTTTTTTTTTTTTTTTTTTTTGTGTCAGAAATTTATATATACATATATGCACTGAACAAATACATGTGCACTTTACGTGTATCCTTCGGAATGCACAAAATTTTTACACTTTTGTTCATCCCTTTTTGTGAAAAAAAAAAAAAAAAAAAAAGAAAAAACTTCAATGCATGCACACATCCCCGACTGTTCGCAATTTCCAGCAAATAAGAAGAAAATTCGACTCACACGCAGTTGCGAGTTTGCAATTGCGTTTGCAATTGCGCTTGTATTTCCATTTGCGTTCGCTTTTGTGTTTTCGTTTCCTTTATTGTTCCTTATCACTACCCTTTTCGTTACTGTTTTCGCTTCCTTCTCGCTTCCCATTTTTATCCCCCTCCAGGCACCGTTTGCTCCACACCCCTTTCCACCGCAACCTTTTTCACATAAACCCGAAGCGTTATTACACTCAGTAGAACACCCCGCTAGGGAACGCAGCGATAGGGCGCCTAATACACTCGGAACGCTGTCACCCTTTTGCGCTTTTTTTTTTTTTGCCGTCGCCTGTGAGGAACGGCTAAAACTGTGCACATACGCTCAAATGCACATACATATGTGCGTAACGGGGTATGCACTTTTACGTATGTTTCCACCCCGGAAATGGGTCAAAAAAGGGATCAGTAGGAACGGTGACAAATTTTTCGATGGTACGTTTCGTTAGTCCATACCCCATTTTGCGCAGTCTCCATACACATATAGTGTGGCATAAACGATGCCGCAAAGTAATCATTTGGGGGATGCAACGAGTACACACTCGCGCATCCAACCCGCGGTACTTTTAAACACCTCACGGTGTAAAGTCACAAATTGCACGCTGCCCCCGTCGCATGCTGCGGGGTGTCATTTTCCCAATACAGCATTCCCTTAAAGTGCAAATTAACGAAACGGCTACGTTGAATATTAATTCACAAGGACACCACTCAAATGAGCATCAAACGTTTTGTGAATGTTCAAAAAAAAAAAAAAAAAAAAATGCAAAAGCGAAATCGAAAAGGTGCTAAAGTAGCAAGGCAAGCGAAACAACGAAAAATGAATGAAAAAGAATGGCCCATGCGGTACAAATATATAAAATGTGCAACTGTACACACTTGTTATGTCTACGAAGGGGCCTTCCACTGACTGCTTCTGGATGACCTTTTAAAATTTTTATTTTCACCAGCATACTCAATCGTTTGATGTCTTTTACGATCTTTGGGAAACGATTCGGGCGGGGCTAACGTACCCGATTCGTAAATTTTTTTCACTTGTCTTCTCCAGGGGGTTAAATCGATCTACGTGTACATGACGGGGCGGAAAAGGGAAGAAAAATGAAATAATGTGCACCTATATACGTGGTACAGGTCGAAGTGTATTTCATTCGCGTAACGCACACAAGTGTGTATGGGTCGCAAAGTGCACATATATATACTTTTTTTTTTTTTTTTTTTTTTTTTTTTGCGCCTTGTGCCATTCATCGAGAGGCCCCTGCGGAAACACTTTATTCTTTTGAAAAAAAAAAAAGAGTTACCTTCGGAAAGGTCTGTTCCGGCACACTGTTCGGCTTGAACGTTTCCGATGAAATGCCCGAATGCATAAAAGGTTTGGTCACATCCGGGGCAAGTTGAACAAGGTTTTCATCAATCCTTAAGTCAGGGTTTAAATTCATTTTATAATCAGCCAGCAAGTTGGTCAAAGGTAATCTCCAAGAATACCTGCATTCTCCCATGTGCCACAGTTGCGACCGTGTAGGTGTAATTTTCACGTCGCTACGAACACCATAAATGACATTTTTTTTTGTGATGTACGGATTTCTTCCGATATTTTTACATGACTGAATCATTTTGACGCTATCAGGTACTTCATGCTCTAATGTGATGATTGCCTTTTTATATCTTGGCCCATTTCGATAATAATTGAAACGAAAGTCAGTTAAATTTCTTCTCCTCTCCGGCACCTTAATTAATGTGTTGACTTTTATAACCTTGGCATTATATATTTTTCTCAAGTATTCTCTAATTTCAAATTTGGTTAAATTAATTGGCACCCTTAGTGCCAGTCTGTTCTTTTCAAGGAAGCTCCCTGACTTGTGTATGCTGAAGTTCTGCCATGGGAAAAACACATTTCTTGGGGTTTTTGGCGGTGTATGCCTCACGAAGGTGAGAAACATTATCGGTAGGGATGAAGCAGTTGCGCTTGTACTTCTAGTCCGGACAATGCGCCCTTATACATGCGTGTGTTATGTGCATAGCTTGGTATGTTAGTATGTGCCCTTTTGCGCATGACGAAGGTGAGCTCTTCTTCACCGGTAAGGGATAAACTATAAACGCGTGAACTTCCCTCCTCCACTCCCGTAAGTAATCATTCCTGCGTTTGCTGTTTTATCCTTTCATGTATGTGTAATAAGGCTTTTTTTTTTTTTTTTCATCAACTTGAGCGATGTTTTTGGTTCTATGTGCTGACGCCACGTGGTACTATCGCTGGAGCGCCATTTGTGTATTGTGTGTCGAAAAGGTAAAAAAAAAATTTTTATTTGTTTTTGTATAAGTACATTTCGCTATTTCGCACCGTTTAGAGAGTCCCCTGTTGGTGTAACTCTGCCTTTTCACAGCCCAGTTTGCAATCCCGTGGAGCGCAAAGAAAAAAAAAATAATTGCAATGTGAGAACCGCGGAGCGGAAATTTGATACCGTGAAGAGGCGAGTGTGAGTGAATCGCCTTTGCACCACTTTAAAATGTTATACCCAAAAAGTTGCCATTCACTCGGTGGCGACGTAACGATCAAGCGTGAGTGTATTTATATGCATATGTATGGCGCACGAGGCTGAAGCGAACATAGTAAGAGGCAAACGTCCACATTAAACTTAACCGCGCGGGGATGATTAATCGGTCTTACGCAGAAAGCGATGCATAGTTTGTACAGACTCATGCGTGTGTTTTGCGCCACACCCCGTTGAGCACCTCCCACCTTGCACTTGCCCCAAACTGGTACACTGACGACTTGCCACACTTTAGGACCGACCAATGAACTAACGTTGTGCTGTTTGAAATTTTGTTTCCACGTGGGCGAGGATCATCATTTTGTTTGAACATATTGCTGTCATGTGTTAACAGCATAAGTGCATTTTAAACGTTTTTTTTCTTTTTTTTTTAATTGATCTGCCGAGCTATGTGGGTGATCTGTTTTGCTTTTCCCGTTCTTCTACACTTTCCTCCAAGTAGGCGTGTGAAGCCACGAATGGGAGTTTCCAAAGTGGTATTACGAGATGGGTGAAATGTCTTTACGTGGAACAGTCACCCCACAGCCTACTACAGGCCATTTTAGGGGGGTATCCTGTCAAATCATTAGTATCGGAATGCAAAAGCAGCACATGCGTGTACACACATATGCTTATGTACCCCTATGTATCCACGTGTAATGTTTGCATGGGCACACCCGGCTGCTTACTGCATCCAGCACTGCAACAACAGCTTGTCATGGCCGCAACAGTTCCCAAGGGTATTCCCCCGAGTGGTTAAGTCATCATGTGTACATATCCACCTACACGAAATGATAAGCATTGGGAAGTCGCCAACTCCGCATGCACACCGGAAACGGGTGCAAAACGCACAAAATTTTTTTTAACGCATATTTTTAATGGCCACAAATAAAAAGGAAACCATTTGCAAATTCGGCCAACACGAAACGTATCGTTTTTTGTTCCTTTTCCACAATTTGATCAATTCGAAGTTGTGCACACAAGTGGAGCTATTTTTTGCGGAATTGTGTAGAAGGTAAAAATGTACATTTTGCACTGCAGGAAAAAAAAAAAAAAAAAAAGAAGCAAAGCGAAGCGAAACGGAAGGATACGTAACGAAATGAAAAGATGCTAAACGACGAAATGCGACGCGAAAGATAGTGAAGCAACAAAAAACAATTTTTTCGCGCATACGTATAATAATGTGACCACTTGCAATGCAACGCTATTTTTTTTTTTTTTTGTTGTTTTGTTTTGCAAATTCGACTGTTCTTTGCCCCAACTCTCGGGCAAGTTTGCTTTAAACGAACGAAACAGAAATACAACTTTTCTTCTTCAACAGAAATAACATCCTGATTTTTCCTTAACGATTATTTGCCATAACGGCAAGGTGAAATTTCCATTTCGTCCACCTACCCTATTTTTTATAACCTCTATTTTTATAAGCGTTTTTACGTGGAACAAAGACCCCCATTATTTTACACCCTTCTTTTATTTATTACCACATCGAACAGCTTTACTCTTTTTTGCAGTAGATGTAAAAAAGTGTGTACCATAGCGTAGCTTGTTTGATTCATCCCCACTTGCAGCTCCAAACAGTCGCTGTGTTCAAACGTTTACCCAGAAATTTCCCGTGTCCCCTGGGATTAATTCTTTCGCCAGAAAAATTTCCCCCCATAATCTGAACATCCCCACAACGATGTTGCAGGAAAGAATCATTTTCATGGGGACAGGCAAACCGTAGTTACATCAAATGCAACTGTGTGGGGAGTAAACAGGTACCATTTAAAAAAAAAAAAAAAAAAAATCATGAACATGCAATGTAATAATATTAGTCCAGCGTTGGAAATTTCGAGTGTAAAGGACTTTTTACGAAACATATGCCTGGACAAAGAGGATATAATTGTACAAAATCTGGAACTCAGAAATGTAAGAACCGTGTACGATTTTTTACGCCATGTGTCTTACCTTACGGTAACGAGTTGCACTGGTATGAGCAATGAGGAAAATGTGGGCATAAGTAGCCAATCGAATTTGAAATTTGCAAGTGCGCATGAAAATATTTTGCAGAATGGGGTCAGCGTAAATGGCAAAGTAGCGCAACATAATGGGGATGTGGGGAATCTGGGGGAGGGGGAGCTGTGTAATGGTCACGCCCCTGTGAGTAGGGAAAAAGGTGACAGATGTAATGGGGTGCAAATAAATGGGCAGCACGGTGGGGCCGCACAAGGCGAGGGGATACTCACCAATGGAATTGGTAGCAGCGGAGTGGACGTCCCCGCCACGCACAGCGAAGCGACCTATGCGTGCAAAGAGATCGCGGCCATGCAGGATTACTACGAGCAGGCGAAGGAGAAGCGAAGTGACGCAGAGAAAAAAGGGGAGTACATGTACTTTGACATGTACATAAAGTCAGAAGTGATTAAAACCTTCCCCACGACGGACAGGGATAAGGAAAGGTTGATAAATTATATATACAAAGTGATGGACGTAAATGACCTCTTGATGATGTGTATTCATTTTGGTCTCCCCCATTTGTGGCCTAAATTTGAACGGAGCAAAATTCGAAATGTAGATTTGTTCAAGCGCATAATCATAGAAGGGAGGAAGTTCGAAAGGGTAAAGAACGAAATGGGCATCTCCTTCTCCGAATTTGTACAAATCCTGAACTTTGCCTTAAGTGTAAAAAAGAAGAGAATTTTCTGCAACAACATTTTTAGCCAGTTCGATCCCTGGGATTGTAAAAGTAAAAAAAAACACACCAAAACGATATGCGACAAAATACATCAGTTTATCGAGTTTGACAATTGGACCTTTAAAAATATTATTGATAATCCTTTTTTCCAAAGATTACGAAATTTATCTCAGTTAGGTGTTTGCCAATTTGTCTACCCTGGAGCTACGCACACCAGATTTGAGCACAGTTTAGGAGTTGGTTATTTGTCTGCAAAATATTTCACTCATTTGTGTAATCGCTATAATTTATCTCCGTATTGTGGGGAATTAAATAAAATGCTTCGGTGTGTGCAGATAGCTGGTTTGTGTCACGACTTGGGACATGGACCATTCAGTCATACATTTGAAAGCTTCTTTATGAATTATAAAAAAGAAGACACAGATCATAAATGGAACCATGCATCTATGTCTCTAAAAATTGTGGAACACATTATAGAAAATTTGATAGACCAGGATGATGTGCTAGACTCCACAGATATCAAAATTATAAAAAAGTTAATAATTGGGCGTGCACACTACAAATCGCTTTGCGGTGTAGATCCTGTAGATTCTTTAATAGAAGCTTCTTACGACATTATATGTAATAATAGGAATGGATTGGATGCAGACAAATTTGATTACCTCCAGAGAGATGCAACTATTGCCCCCCCAAATGGGACACTTCCATCCCTCAATTGTAATCGAATCATTAGCCAAAGTTCTGTTATTAATGGCCATATAACATACAACGTTAAGGAGATCCATCCTGTGTGGACTGTGTACATGAACAGATTTTCTTTATTCAAACAAGTGTATACTCATAGAAAGGTGCGAGTTATGGAGCTGATGCTGTGTGATGGCTTTCGTCTCGCTGATGATATTTTCAAGTGGTCAGAATCTTTACAAGACTTGGATGCTTTTCTTGACCTAACTGATTCGTCCATCATTTATGATATTAAGAACAGAGCGAAAAAACACAAGTACGATGAGCAGGTGCAGAAATCGCTAAACCTAATTAACTCCGTTATACATGATAGGAACTCCAACTATGCATACAAATACATTGCAGAAATTAACCTTTCTGAACCACAACTCATTAAGTACTTGAAGGACATAACAAATGAAGAGAGGATTGCTAGATATGCTCATGGACTTAGTCCAGATGATATTATCATAGACTGGAACCATTTGAACTATGGAATGGGTGCAAACGACCCACTGGATTCGGTTTATTTCTACAGCTCCGATAATGAGGATGAGGCTTTCATAGCGCACAAGGAGTATAGGGGCACGCACCCGAGGTACTTTGAAGAGTGCAACGTGAGGTTGTACTGTAAAAATAAAATGGTCGCTCATTTGGCGAAGGACGCGCATAACAAGTTCTTGTCCGATGTCTTCTCGGAATCCTCGCCCCTTTACAAGAAAAAAATAGTTAAATGAGTTCAAACGAACCGTACCGCGCACTGCAACCAGATTTAGTTGCATGACGCGAAGAGAGAGAGAAAAAAAAGGCCAAGTTCAGCATAAAAAAGGCGTGACAATTCAGATGTGCGTATAAGTACATCAAATTAAAGCCTGCACACGGCAACCGTGTACGTATCCGTTTGGTTTATACTACATACTTCTCTTTTTTAATACATCAAGGAGTACATGGATGTGCCTCCTTCACCATTTTATCCCTCCACCGTCCTACTCATACATAATAATTAATCACGTTTTCCCTTTTTGATAAAAAGGGACAGACAATGAGCCAAACGTGTTGTGCTCCCGCCAGCTTGAGCTCCGGCGTTTGTGTAGTATTCCATGGCGTGGCGTTGTCGCCATGGGCTCATTTTGTTGTGTTCATTTTTCATGCTCTTCGCGCGCGTTGATTCGGTGCGCCGTTCGTATAACGTATGTGTGTAAATATATGCATAGACATAAATGTACATATACATATATACGTACGCATGGGCCTGTGTTGTGTGCAATCCTGCACACAACTGCGGACAACCCTTAGTGGTTACTGAATGGGGGGGAAATTCGCTTTTGCTTTTCTTTTAGGCCCCTTCCCACATCAGAAAGTACAACATACCCCTTTTTTCTTGCATTGCCCACTCGTGTACGCATACATGCTTGTATGTATATATTTGTACTAATTCGCTTGTTTGATTTTTTTTTTTTTTTTTGTAAACTGTTTGATGCATTGTGTACAGTGTAGCAGCTGAGTATAGAGTTTCATTATGTAATTTTTTTTTTTTTTCCCCCTTTTTCATTCACATTAAGAAATATTTTTCCCGTCTGAATTTCAGGCGAGCAGAGTTTCATGTTGGCGATTGAAGCGTGTGTCTCATTGATGAGGAGCGTTCTCACG